AGCATCTTGTAAACTGAACTGAATTATGATTTCAAGTTAGTATTAGATCTAATTATTAAGCTAGTTGAATATTTTCTACTACCTAATAATGTCAAAATGAACAAGATCTCTCATTTTTTCTTGTTTTCACTCAATTATTCTTTCTTTTTCATAATCAAGATTAGCAGATATTTTAAATTGTGCCACGTGAAAGATTATAATTTTTGTACTTTCGATCGTGAATAACGTTCATACAAAAAAATAAGTAGCGATATGGAAATGATGAAACAAGTAACAGTTCAGGTTCAAAATTCGCTGCTTATAAAAATTTTCTTCGAGCATAACAACAGATCAAAATTGAAAGAGTTTCTCCCTCTCCTTGTTAGGTTCGTTATTTAAATGAAGTGACAGATAAGGACTAATTTGCTACTTCATCCCTCAGCGACTTCTTGAAGAAAGACGATTGTAGAGATACAGACGTAACTTCAATGCACAGGTGTAAATTATAATAACAAGTCATGCGACAATAAACTGAAAGAAATTTTTCAATTTCAATTGGAAAAAAAAGAATTAGATATTCAAAATATATAACATTTCGCTGCTGGCTAAATTATACTAATGGATTGGCTAGCAAAAGAATTTGACCAAGAACAGAACAAATTAGAGAAAACTTGCTCTAGCATCTCAGGGTGTATATCATGCACCGATTACATATGAATAAAATTTGCTTCTGTCAAATTCGAACCATTATTATAGCTTTCTGTTAAAAAAGTTTTAAGAACTTTGAAACTTTGAAAATTTTTCAAACGTTCCTAAAATTAGTTTCATAACATGTTTAAACGACAAAGAGGACCAGCAATGAAATCATGCCAATATAATGACATTTCTCAGCGGTCATCCGGGTTAGACTTCACTACACTTATGAACATTAAGCAAATCCATTGTTACATTTTACTTAGATATTTCTCATCAGTTTAGAATTATATTTCTAATTGAATGGTACATATTGCATCAAATTTTGGCAATACTTAGCAGCTACGATTACATTTTAAATATTTCAAGATTTTTTCATAATTGAGCGAAGTTTTTTTTCAGCATCACAATACCACTCCCATATATCATTAACGCCTTGAATTCATTCTTCCGATGTACCATCTCATATGTCAATAAGTAACCCTATATATAATCATTCCTGAGACCAGCATATCCACACATTTCGTTTCACCAGGTCATCTAATCTATTTAGTAAAGAAGATATAACACATCAAAATAGTAATTAATTTGTTTATATGCATCCGAATTTATTAATCTTAAAGTTTTAACAATTCGGACTGTTGGACTATTTGTAGTTTATTATCATAGGTTTATCACTTGATACTGAGTATCAACCTTTCACAGTCAATGATATTATGTCAATCGAAATGCTCGACCAATTTGCAGCTGGAAATTTAAGTTTGCAGGACTGATTTACATAATTTATCTCGGGTTCGAAGATAAATATGCTGTATTTAATAATTCATAATATGATTTTTGTTTCATGTTATGAAAATTTAAAATGTTCATCTGTTGTTCTACGTTCAATTCATTCGCCTATGGGATTATTTAATTACTTGTTCAAATTATGTCTAATTCCGAAGAAAAAAAAACTTGTTTCTCCAAATTTCGACAATTAAACAAAGCATGAAACGAAGAATACTATGCTGATTTTAAAGAACGTTAACAAGGTCCGATATGATATGATAAAAAGAAAATCGAACACGTGGATCAACAACGTTCTTACCAGTTTTGATTTTTTTATAACTTCTAGATGGAAATTTTAAATGATAAGATTGCAAAGAGTAAAAATTTAAAAATATTTAAAAGAAATTTACAAAATTGACATTTGAAGATGAACGAAATTTATCTCACAACCTAAAACATTTAGCGTCTAAAATACGTGAAAAAGCTATTTCAGCAGGCGTACCTGAAATGACTGATTTTGAAGAAGTAATAAACATCTTTATATGTGTGCACAAATTTTCGGCGCTTATATTTTCAGTATTTTTTGAACTTGTGTTTTATAACGATAAGAGAAAGAAATCTAAAATAGTTCCAAATTCTTTAGGATGAAGATGATTATTATTACTTTTTTTTTAGTTTGAGATGACATCGTTGGAGGTATTTTAATGCAGATCAAATACACAAATACAATTGGTCAAGCGAACTGGCTAAGGTTAAATGTTGCTCTAAAAAGGAAAAATAAATGAAACGGCTTCACTATAATTATAATAAGACGTATATTTTGCGCCAAATTATTGAGCATTTTTAAAAAGTGTAAAATAATGCGGAAACCAAATCATTACATGGAAAACTTATTCAACTAAGCTTTGGCACCAAACAAAATGTCCGCTATCAAACTAACAAAACATAAAGCAAGTTATTTGGTCTAGCAAAATTAGTAATATTTCTTGTACTGGATAAATAATAAATCAAACGAATGTTAAAGCTGATCGGTTAAGAAATTGGTAAAGAATGATGCAACGTTTACTTTAAATAACTTGCAAAACCAAATTTTTTTGGAAAAAGGAATTTAAGAGAACCTGAAAATCCTAAGTTTTTTGAAAATCGATAATATATCATAATTTGTATCTTGGAAGAATGATGCTATGATTTTTGCTTCTATAGTGCTAGTCGTTCTCTTCTCTCAATCTAATTAAATACAATTGCAAAATATACAGTTTAGCTTAAATTGAGTAGATATTTGAGTTGGTGCTTTTGCTCTACAATGAACCCTAATACGATTATTCTTTCGAGTTACTCACGAAATCACGAAGTTTTTGAAGTGAGAGTTTTTTTTTTCCAGTCGCACTTATCGATTCGATTGATATTTATTTTTCTCTATTTTGTTTTATTAAATCAATGATTAATGCCAAATTTGAGGAATCGGTAATGTGCAAAAACTTTAGTCTTGACAGATGTAAGGATCTTCAACATATATTACTTCATGATAATGTTACGGATGAATGATATATTAAAATTAAATGGATCGCTACTTGAATTGGATTTAAGTGATTTAAATGTGAAGTAAACACGCTTTTCTTTCAAATTTTAGAGTTCAACTACGGAAAAATTTTATCTTCTCATAGAATCGATGACTCATATTAATTAAACATGGAGCACTTTAAGTAAAAAGATCAGCATGGTGTTTCCGTGAATATAATTTTGTCGTAACTGATGTTGCAGAAGGTCACTGAAGATCTTTTAAAATATTTTTTAGCAGAATTTAAGATTTCACATTTCAGTGTGCCCCAAAACATCTAAAAAATACGATTGTATTGTCCTGTCCTGTCTATATGTATTTCTTACTATATCTATGACAGAAGCAATAAACATTTTCACTGGAAATATTCTAATAACATCACTGATTTTACGAGACAAGTATGTCTTTATTTCTAAAACTAATGTTATTGAAAAATCTTCTGCATTGTTTTGGATGTCCCACGATATGTATATGAATTAAAACAGTTCTGAAATTTTAATAAGTGAAATGTAAAAGTAATACAAAAGATAAATTTTTGCTGAATTATTTCAATATCATATTAACTTTCAGTTAATTTTTATGAGGTGATTTTAAAAAGTATTATCCGTGGCTTATGTGACGAAAATGGATCTTTGTGAAATTAGTGCTAATTATGATCCATATGTATAAGTCTTTTCTTCTTTTTGTAATATACATTACATTCCCAGTAGTTATATTATTGTTAAAGAGAAATATTGTTTCAAATGCTAAATATTAATATACATTTAATAAAATTGTTATCTATGTGTAAGATCATGGAAAAGTACACATAGGTAACAACTTTTTTTATACGAATAGAAACAGGGAGGGCAGGGAACTAAAAGTAATGGAAACCATGCAAATAGGTAACTATCTCTGGCTTGCTGATCAGAGAAATTTTTACAGAACCCTTTCATACAAAAAAAATATATGAATTTAAGATAGACGTGTTATAATTAACTTGATTTGCATTATTTTGCTAAAAAATAATTTGAAAAGGAAAATAGCTTCATTTGATTTCATTTCAACCGTAAACTTTAGTTAAGTAATTATTCAATTACTTAATATTTCTGTCATTTTATCTCTTATCCACATTATTTATTTTTGAATTCAAGTTCCATTTTAGTTCGCGCTGTACAGTGTTATCATTCCATTGCATTTTTTTCTTTGCATTAAAGCTTTTTGTTGTTTTTCAGTAAAATTTTCCTGAAGAAATGGAATCAGCCCTCTTTTCGTCTTTTAATAACTTGACATCAATATTTCATTATCTTTCACAGTGACGTTAACAATTAGGAGGACATCTTTTTTTGCTTTAAATATTGCAGAAGTTTAAATATCAAGAAATGATGGTGAATCGCCATTCTTTGGTGTGTGAATTGACAATCGCTCTGCAGTCCGACAATTCGCAGATTTCGGACATTTTCTGTTTTTTTTTGTTTATAGAAAGATTAATATAACTGAGACAAATGGTTTATTAATGGTTCATTAGAAATATCAAAACAAAACAGTCCAGTAACAAACGAAAAAATGGAAAATCATTGCGATAACGATTTATAAAATTTCAGGAAATGAAAATGCAAAAATTTTTCGAACCTCTACGACAAGAAATCGATAGATTTCATAGATTAATTACGAGGCCGTGTAAATCCGTGCATCACTTGAAACTTTTCGCTAATATGAAGCATGACGTTGTAAGTGTTAGTTTTGTTTTGCTTGTCATTCCATTCAGAATTATTTGCGGTGCATCTTTTCTCAGTTTCTCGTTAAAGACAGCGTTGTATCAGGCTATGATTGTATTCATTGTACGCTTTAGTTTATTGACTGTTAGATTTTCCGCGTTTTAATTTATTAATTTGTATTATGTCGTTTTTGCGTTCTCACAATTATTGTAATTCTAAGTTGTAACTGAAAGAGCACAATGAAACTACATGTGAAGAATTTGTTATTTGTGACTTTCATAGTGGCCACATTTCGTTTGTTGTATATGATTGGAAACCGACCTTGGATGCGAACAAATCAGTGTGAGATGACTTATATGTATCGAATTATGAATTTTATGGTATGCATTTTGCAGATTTTCATTTTATGGTATGCATTTTACAGATTTGTCATTTAATTTGTTGTTAGTTCACTGAATTTAGAAGTGCTCTAAGTACTTTGACATTGTAGCGCATTGATATTGGTTCCACAAAGTTGAAACGTGATCAAACTGAAGGTATTAGATATCCGTTTTCGAATGATTTCAGCGGCTACTCGACGATTTTATATGGAGAAGGAGAATATGCTCGCAATTACATGTACAGTTTGCTCTTTAAAAATGGCAGTTTGTTTATTAAAAAGTGCTCGAAAACATTTAACAGTCATGTTTTGTTTAATTCCATTTTATTGCAGGAGAACCGAACAGGTCAATGGACTTCCCATCATTTTTGTTCCTGGCAATGCAGGTTCTTCCAAACAAGTTCGTTCTCTGGGGTCGATACTCCATAATAAGACTGAAAGTAGGAATTTACCGTTCACATTCGATGTTTTTGCCATTGATTTCAATGAGGTTCGTTCCAATATAATTTTGTTCTGCTTTCAGAACATTTTATGCGTTTCATAAAATAAGAATAGTAAGTTAACTTCAGAAGAAGAGAACTGAAGTTTATTTTAAAATTTGATTCCATTTATTTGAAGTATGCTAAACATTTTCTCGAAAGTTCCATAATTTTAGGAATTGTCAGGTCTATCAGGCATGTATTTGGAACGGCAAATCAAATATCTCGAGTTAGCGGTGAGACATATTTGGAGCATGTATTCACCCTCACCGCATGGTATCATATTTGTTGGTCATTCAATGGGTGGTGTCGTTATACGGTCTCTTTTGCATAGCGTTGATTTCGATCCTAGCCAGATTGCATTTATTGTGACCTTGGGGACACCACACAAAAATGCACGTATGTTATAAGTAATTACATTTTTACTATTAGTTCATTTAACCAAGTTTTTGTTTTGTTACATTTCTGATACGCCATTTTTCTAGCTTACTTCCCTTCCATATCTTTTTAGCAATGGTTTTTGATTGGTATTTGAAAAATATTTATGACCGAATGCATGACAGTTGGAGAGAGCATGAAGAAGAATTAGCCAGTCTTTTGGTCTTATCGGTTTCGGGTGGTTTGAAAGACCACCTTGTGCCAGAACATTTTACTTTCGATAATGGTATTCGCCATATTTCAACTACCGCTGTTGATGGCATTGAGCTAGAGACTGATCATCTTTGTATTGTTTGGTGTAATCAGTTGGTTAGGTTTGTTGTTCACATTTGCGTATTCAATTATTACAATTTGTCAGTAGAAAATAAGGAATTAAATTTTAAGCTAGACTAAATTTTAAAACTACTTCTGAATTGTTGTTTAGATACATCTCGCGTTTGATGATTGAATATGCTTACGATCCAGCTTCGTTTCGTAAACGTGCTGATAATGTTGTAAAGCAACTTTTTGATGCTGATGGGCTTCTCAGGGAGCTAACGCCTATGCAAGTCGGTACAAGTACCGAGATTATCGTCAGGAATGAATCAATTTTTGTAGGTATAGTAAATGTACACATACTTAGTTACGTATTCTTTGTAAAATAGTTGTTTCCATCTGTACTAGATATTCATTCTATCCATTCAGTATTTCGTTTTTATTAAATCATGTGTCCCATATGTCCTATACACACATTGCTTGTTATTTTTACGGCGTTTTGGCTTGTGATCATAATAATCAACTTTGATCGTATTATCATAAAATTAAGTTCATTCTCTACTAAGATTTCGTTAATCTTAATAATGATAATCATATTTATGGACTTCCGAATTCAGGCTTATATAACATTGTTTTACTTCTCAGGTGAAAAATAATGATGAAGATCTGAAGGAATTCGTCCTGTCATTTCCAAAGAACAGCTGGTTGTTCATTGAAAGAAGTTCTGGAAGCTCGTTGCGGACATCATTTGGAGAACCCATTTATTTTTTGAACAGTTTGCGACAGACATCTTACACACTCGTTCCCGCTAATGTTGCAGAACGGATTTCGGTACATCTGGAACCTGAGAAATTTTTTAAAGTCATTGCACTTCGAGAAGATCCAACTAAGTTTAGTTCTGCATAAAATCAAATTTTTGTGGTTAGAAAGCATTTCAGGAATATTCATGGCATCAAAATTCTCCGCTCTTTAAGATTTCTATACGATTTTGAAAACTCATGTTAAAATGAAAATTATAGCAAATGTCAGAAAACGTGTTTTAGGCTGTTCATATTGGATTATTGTCATTACTAAAAGGCTGCTTCACATTTTTATGGGAAGCGGACCTTGAAAGTAGTGAATCTGTTTTATTATTGCCAGTTTATTTCGAAACTCCAGTTATTGCCATCGCTATATCACTTGAATTAGAATCATGTAAACATGCAAATGGTTAGTTTCCGTTATCCTCCTAACTTTGCGAAGGAATTACTCACATATTACTATTCATTGTTAGCAAAACTGAAAAGATGCCTTCTACTTGAGTTTAGTAACATCAACGTTCAGTGCCTAAACTTGAACAAAGACTTTTTAGTAAGTCAGATATAATCCTTATCATTCCCCTTCTTATTACTGTGAATTTTATGTGATTTGTTGGATAACTTGTATATACTTTGTGATTCATCTAGTTTTGAAATTAATTTAAGTCAGTTAAACGATCACAAAGATTGTTGTGAGTTCAGTTTTTAACAGAATCGTTCGCAAAAGTTGAATTTCGAAGTCAACATCTACGACGTATTAGCAGTCTTAGTGACAGTAAAAGACTTCAAATAGTTGGATATTTACTTAATAAGGAAGAAACAAAAGCTGAAATATTTTTCATATTAAATCGACACTGCCGTTTCCATGCACGTCTCGATATCAATTATTTGGATACTTTGATTGTGGTATGTGATATATATGTTTGTGCGAAGTTACAAATCATGTTAAAATTTTTTCTTGACTATTTGGATTTGCACTTGTAAAGTCGATTGGATGATTTGCAAGATAGACAAGTATTATTATTCAAGTTAACTTTGCAAATTTTTCGTCATTTTTCATTTGTTAAATTTAAGATGCTTCGAATGTATGGATCCATCGTTCCTTACATGTTAAGTATATATATTCTCAGTGCGTTATGGCTTTGCACTTTAATTGGTATGTCATTTAAATTATGTTATGTAATCATAACCGAATGAGAATTGCAATATCGTAAAATGCCTTGTACAGAACAAAAACTATCTCTACCATCATTTTCAGAGAAGTGTTATCCGAATACCCAAGATTACAAAATAATATGCCTCACCTTGACTTGTCACATGTTTATCATTTATTGGAATAATTTGTTAGTTTTTTTTCTTATAAATGAATTGAAGCTACGTAGAATCTTGATTTAGTATTTTAATATCACTGAGAAACGTAAAAAAATCTCATCTGCCCATCTAATCTTTGTAATACTCATAGTATTTACAGGGTTGATTGGTTTACCTTATTGATCTCATCTTTATTGATTTCATATTTTACGTATATTCTTCAGAAACTAGTGAATTTACTTATTCGACTAATGAAAAGCAGACAGTCAAAAAGGTTAGTTTTGGTTCGATCAAATTATCAATAGATTAGATGTAGATATAGATCAGATGTAAATATAAATTAAATAGACTAGATATAGATTAGATAAGTTTAATTAGATTAGATAGGTTGGATATAGATTAGACAGATAGATAGATTGGATAGATAGATTAGATAAATCATATAGATGTAGAGATAGACAGATATAGATAGATATACAGATCAAAAACTAATCTGTTGAATAATGCAATTCGATAAAAAATTAAATTTATGTAGCCGTTTTTCAGAATGTTCATTTCTTTTTAACGAATTTCTGTTCTTATTTAATTAAATTCTCAAAAAGAGTACTTTACTTCTTCTCGTCTACGGCTTATGCTTCGATTTGTTGCTGCCTTTAAAATAGCTTGGTCAGCCACTGAAAGATGACATGATTAAGTCTAATTTAGATGAAGGATCTAGGTTTTTCTTAATTTGCAGTGATTCATTCTTTCTTACAAAAAATTGCGAAATTTATTTCAGATCTGTGGAATCCAGACGCCCTTACTTTAATGAGTTGGCACTTGTTGCGACATCACTGCTTATAAATTATTCGTACAATGGTTTTTTTGCGTTTCTGATAATTGTTTTCTTCAGTTTATTGGTAAATCACATATTGATAGATTAATTTTATACTTTCAGTACAATTATGATTTCGTAGTACCAATCCTTTCGTAGTACAATTGTTATAAGTAGTGAAAAAGAATGTTGTGCAAAGATACACTGCGTATGCTCGCGTTTTAAACTTCCTCAACTCTTAATTTTACCTGGGGAATTTTTATTTGACATTACTTTGTTTCTTTTTCAGCAACTTCTGAAAACAGCGACTTTTTCAAAGAGTGTCAGTCTTTCAAGTTTTTCGCAACCAGTTCTCTTGGTTGTCCTTCATTTTTATACTGTTTTGGTTTATGCGCCGTTTGGCATTTGTTCCGTGTGGAATATAGTCAAATATGGTTTATTTGCTGTTTATGAAGATCCGGCTCGTATTCCAACGTACTGCATGATTTTCCTGAAACTTATTCAACTTTGGACAAACAAAATCTACTTCAGAGCAGTATGCTTCGTTTTGTTAATTGCATTTCCTCAAAAAAAAAAAAAAAACATGAAGCGAGATTGATTGGACTGATGTTTCGGGAATTCTGATTTTTTGGAACCTAGTGTCATTCATACTCTTACTTTTGAATTGTATTCATTACGTTTGATGCAGTTGAAATAGTGACATTCAACAACATTGAGTTTTTACCTTGTTATTCCAAAAAGAGTATAGATTTATGAAATTACAAAAAAATCATGTGAAGTACTTTAGAATTATTAGTAAATTTCTAATTTTTCTAAAAATTACTGGTTTTTCTCATCTAAAATGACTTATGTTTTGCTGCACCTTAACTGCCTTAATATCAAAAAAAAACCGCAGATCTTCAAAGTTCCTAACCTTTAATCTTTATTTTCCTAAGTTTGAGAAATTATTTAGCCTATCTTTCGCCGATGGGTTCGTCTTTTATGATTGATAACCACTCTTCAGAAATAGTGTGAATTTCTGATTCTACTTGTTAGTATTATGGCCTATTCGTTTTAGCATTAATTTTTAATTCCAAGTGTTATGTAACATTTTTTGTATTATGTAATATTTTAGTAAATGAGTGATTTTTTAAAAGAGGTCAGCTGACCATATAACATTGATAAACTATCGTGCGGAAATTCCGTTCCATCGGTTGAGATTCAACTTCTGCATTTGAAATTAGAGTTGAATTTTTTCTTTTAATTGACTTTACTAAATCTAATTTAATTTGTAAAATTGTTTCTTTGACATTTGTTTGCACTTGCAGCATTACATTTCTGTAGCTGTGCTGCTATACACTGCCTTCATCCAACCGTTTACATGTATCGCACAGTTGGGATTTTCTTTTATCGCGGTAATTGGACTCAATTGGCTTGTGAATCAGGGCGAACTGAAATCAAAAATGAATTAACTGGTAACATTGTTTTTGTACAATATTGCAAAAATCTCATATCTCTTAAATTATTCATTTAAGTCATTTAAGAAGTGAATATTGTGTTTTTTCAGTTGGATAGAGTTTTGGAATTTGACGCTGCATATTATACGGCTTTGTTATAGAAAAAATGAGTTCACAATGGAATATTTATGCACGAAACATTGTCTTTGGAATCGAACGAGGTAATGTACAAATCCCAGCTGATTTATTTCCCGTGATCCGTATTTATCGGATATTTTTATCTTACATTGTGTGGCAATAGTTTCAAACTTTTATCTTTCATTGCATATGTCAACGTATACTGAAGGGACTTGTAACATTCAAGTCACTTCAGTATACGTTATAAAAGTGACTAACGTATACTAAAATGACTTGAACTGATGGGATTTCAACTTTTATTATTTATAGAATAAACAGTATCGTTATTCTGCTCAAATTATAGCCTGCATAATTTTCGGATAATTATATAAATATGTATAAGTGGCAGTTATTTAAAAATTATCGTTATGAAGATTTTTAATGCTGCGTGCCGTAGATTTTCTCTGACAGGATTTTGGGACTTGTGAAGTACCGACTTTCTCGAGTCAACGGATAACGAATAAATTGCAAACGTACTCTTGTGCCGAGCAAAATTACTCTTGACCCGCATATTCTTGTACTCATTTCAATTGATAGGCCAAATTCGTCCGGTCAAAATTTTTCCGAAAAGCATGGGTAGTTGACAAAGACCATTCCGTGACGTTTAAGGAAACACTATAGAAATTATAATTGGAACCAACTATCCTTAAAAGACATTACGAACGTTAGGTGGTTCAGACTCCCCAAAACCTCTTCTAGAATCTGATCCTGAACGTACATCCCATATTTCTTTTAATATCCTACTCGTCTGAGCGCAAACTTGCTGTAAAGCATGGTAAAACTAGACTCGCCCAAGCATCACATCAGAATCCGATTTAAATGACATCATTAATAAGTCTATGGCAGTGAAGGTATTGGGCTTCCTGTGCTCAAGGTCATGAAGTGAGAGAACTGTAATATGCTACACAGAACGACGGTTTATTGTAGATAACAAAAATTCTCTTGAACAAGTACATGAAATCTGGACAACATATATTTCTGTACATGAAGAGGACATATCAAGTTACCAGGACATATCAAGTTATCAGCTGTAAGAAGGCAAAAACCTAAATTTAATATCTAAACCCTTAGATCCTTTTCCCTTTGCTTTTCAATTCAAATATTTGATGGCAGTTATTTAATTACGCTGCAGAGAAAAACTTTCTGATTCACCGGACTGCTGGAATTATATTCAGTAAATCCTACATCTCTTATAACTAGTACCGACTACTTTAAGTATGTGCATAGAAAATAAGTGGGTGGACTTCATAGCGCAAACATTATGTTTCTGTTACATAGCACTGACAGTCTTACAAACAAACTGGCTAGTTAACTAAGGAGAAACTTTCATCATTCCAAAGATGGTGTTACATAAAACCCTGCCTGACCAAGAAAACCGGAATTGTCTGACTGATAAAATTAAATTTTGATCGCCGCATTACAAAGCGAACGATGGATGACAAATGCCCTATTTAAAAAACCTATGTACAATAAAGCTTGTCACAGAAGTAAAACATCTTTTTAAAAATATAATCAGGAACAGATAAACAAGTTAAAAAAAATTCAAAGTTGCGTACATAAAAATAAAATGAGAAAAAAGCACCGCGCAAATTCACAGAAAAGCCAAAACTTCAAATGTATTACTTAATCAAATAGGGGGCAGAAAAGGAAAGAGTGTGAGAACACGTAAAAAACAAGATTATTTTCCTATGATTACACATACGGAAATTTTGTAAGAATCAACTACAGCAAAGGCGACAAGAAGGATTCCTAGAATCGGCCCTTTTTTCGCGCCCACAACGTGCACATACCGGGCCGCCGCTTTCATTCTGGACATCGGTTTCAATCTGCAAAAATAAATTTTTTAAATAAGACTGAAAGCAGATAATAATATTCTATTACTATCAGATTACAAAATCAATTCACAGACTACTTTTCGTTACGTCATAAAGCAATTAATGAGAAACTTCAGATAACAAACAACATCTTTTATTCTCGATCATTCTTTAATCAGTGGCTGCGCGAAAACTTACTGGCACAAACAAATTGAATGATCCTAGAGACGAGAAATTTTGTGAAGAATCTATCGGTGTCGGCGGTCGAATTGCTGTATTTACTCGCAATTCACGCTTGAGCAAATCAAGTTGTAATAATGCCTACAAAAATAGAAAATCTAATCCAATGAACTTCCATTTCTCTTGTTTTCATAAAGTAAACGAAATATTTTCCAATAACAAAACTAAGACTAATTTATAACTGAATTCAGAAGCTGCATAAATTTCAAAACCAGAGCAACAACAACCTGGTCCCGTTCAAATATCGCTTTTGATTTGTCAACTTCTGCCTGTTCCGCAAGTCGACGATAATATTCAGCATCCTTTTTCCATGCTTCGCAAGCTTGACGCGCTTGTTTCAGACCATCTTCCCATGCAGTTAATTTCTGATGATGAGCCACGAGTTCCTCGCTTTTCCTATTTAATTCCTTTTGTAGCTCCTCCTTGCTCATCTCGTGCTGCGGTATGGATAAATCCGTTTTCAAAAGATCTGGAAAGATCAATTAAATGTGCTTTCCGACACTGTCTTTATTAATGAACTATTCAATCCTAGTGCCTAGAAAAAAAAGTCGAGAATGCAGATATTTGTAAGATGTTTTTAAGAAATCTTGGAAATACCATTAAGATTCTTTGAAGGAGCAGATAAAAAGCTAAATTTTCCAGAGGAAACACTGATTTTTTCCAAAAAAAATCTGTTAAAGCCGATAAAGATAAAAACCGCAA